TTATTATACACAGTATTTCTGTATGCTTCTTACGGTAGTTGATGTGACCTAGAAATATTAACGTAAAGTAGAGGTTCTAGTCCTCATGAGTTAGAAGCAGCAGTGCAATTTCTTTCTGATAGCAGTTTTGAAATATTGGTGAACTAACCTGCAGGCCATTGTACTTGACTTCAGGTAGAATTAAACTTCTCAAGAACATTCACTATGCGTTTAATTATGTAGCTAATCACATAACTACTTCTAGGAATAAAGGGAGTGTACCACAGTCCTTAATCAGCTGCAGATTAGCTGGATGGGTGAAAGACAAGCAATTCAGGGTTCAGATTCCTCAAAAATGTGAGAACAGTCCAGAAGCATATCTGCCATCTTTTCCAATAAATCAAGAAGACCTCTCAAAAGATGGAGTTAATTCATTTAACAGCAGCGGAGGAACAACATGCGAGTCATCGAACAATACATCCATTATAAAGAGTGGAGTCATTCCAGGTACAGTGAAGTGTTAACAGGAGACCTGTAGGTTTGTTTGAGAAGACTTGCCTATGTTAGCAATAGCAATTGTGGTAACAAAATTTGTTATTATATGTTTACTACAGAAGGAATGAATTTTCAAGATACAAATTTATCAAGGACTGAAGAAAACATTTCCCTGGTGAAAGATGAAAATCTACAAAATGGAGGAAGTGAGCAAAGAGACCATGTGGAGCAACCAACTGGCAAAATTACTGGAGAAATTGTAATACCACCAGGTGGAAAAACATTCATAGTGATCATATGCACAGCTGTGTAAGTATTTCTTTCCATTGTTTCGAACCAATACAATGGAAACAAGTCATGAAAAGAGACTTAATAGTTTCCTTATTCTGGGCGTTGTTCTCTTCTTGGTGTGTCGTGGTTTAACCCCAGCTGGGAGCTCAGCCCCACACAGCTGCTCGCTCGCTCCTCCACAGCAGAATGGGGGAGACACTCAGAAGAGTAAAAGTGAGAAAACTCACGAGTTGAGATAAAGACACTTTAACAGGTAAAGCAAAAGCCACGCACACACAAGCAAAGTAAAACAAGAAATTCTTCGCTTCCCATGGGCGCACAGGTGCTCAACCATCCCCAGGAAAGCAGAGCCACATCTCGTGTAACAGTGACTTGGGAAGATGAACACCATCACTGAACAACCCTCTTCTTCCTTCCTCCCCCAGCTTTATATGCTGAGCGTGATGACATATGGTCTGGAATATCCTTTTGGTCAGCTGGAGTCTCAGCTGTCCTGGCTGTGGCCCTTCCCAATTTCTTGTGTACATTCAGCCTCCTCGTTGGTAGTACGAGAAGGGGAAAAGGCCTTGACTCTGTGTAAGCACTGCTCAGCAACAATGAAAGCATCCCTGTGTTATCAATACTGGTTTCAGCACAAAGCCAAACAGAACCCCATGCTAGCTACTATGAAGAAAATTAACTTTTCCCCAGTCAAAACCAGTACATGATATAGTGTAAAGTAAGCTAGTACATATTAGCAAGTTATCTTGTTTTAGATTTTGAAAGTAGTTATCATTTTAGTGCTCAATTCTGATTTTTTATTGGAAGAAAATAGTAGTAGTTAATGAAGTAACATAGTGGGAGTAGATAATGTCTGTAAAATGACAGTGATGTGAACATAACAGATGGTTATATTATTTGCAGGAAATCCATTGCTCCACGTTCACAAGAGCTAATGCAGATTTCCTGGGAATTTTTGTGTTATGTCTGATACATTTCTTCAATCTCAGTATCATGTATTGCTACATGCCTGATCTCAAACTTTCCTGTTCTGTGATGGGAAATTCAAGTTATGTATGCTGAAATAAGAATGAAACAGCTTTCTTCATTGAAGGTGTAATTCAGAGGAAGTGGTTTGCAGATATTAAAAACCCTTGAAAAACAAAAAATACTATGCTGTACAAAATATTTAATTAATTTATTTAAGAGAGTGGGTTTGTGTGAGCTTTTTCAGAATTCAAGTAGGAACCTCATGCTGCAAAGCTTACATTTGTGTATTTTTCAGTTATTTCCAGCCGAAGCTCTGTAGGTGGTGTGTTCCACAGCCATTGAGTCTTAGGATGGTAATTTAAAAGTTAGACAGGGGAAAACAAGGTCAAATGGTTTCATTCATCAAAATAACACTGCATTAATTTTCACACTACTTCTCTTATATTTTTAAATAGTGAGGCAAGGGGTAAAAAATTTCATAGGAGGATGTTTTAGCTGCAATTTGAAAGTTAAAGCTAAAGGCATGACCTGCCTTTGTGGAGAAAGACATATAGAAAGAATAATTTATATTTCTCTGTAAATCTGTGAAGGCCACAAAGTCTTAGAATCTTATAATACAGAATAATCCACACAAAACTCAATGGGAGGCTGCAGCACATGAAGGTAACAAGAGCTTGCTGGCCACTTAAGAGACCACAGAGACTGCACATTTAGACCATAAATCTGGACAGTTCGGCATCAGCACAGAGAATCAGGCTATAGTTTTAACCTGAGCAGGTAGTTTTAGTTGGCAGAAGTACAAAAGGTGATACTCCTGCCAAAGAGTAAGCTGGAATCCTTCTGGGGTGCATTTGGGCACATGGTAACAGTGTTGGAGTACTTAGTAGAAGAGAACTGGACTCTAAGTAGTGCTTAAGTTTCTTAGCGACCAATGTGAGGAAACTGTTCCCTCCTGTTTTTTTCCCCTCTGTCACTCCCCAAGGAACACTTACATATATAAAATATGTTTTTCAGAATTAAAGCATCCTTCCTACTTTATCCATTTCATGTGTTTACAGTTAGGGTTCAGTTCTGAGGCAAGCTGCAACAAAGCTGTTACTGCATGCATTAAAGGGGTTCCTCTGCTTCAGGTTCCTCTGATGGAACTGTTTAGCTCATCTTTTTCAATATCAGTAATTCCAAGGTGTTCCTTGTTGACAGAAGTATTAATTCTGTACTCTACTATGCTGAATTAAGGGATTTTTCTCTTTACCCAGGTTTTGATGAAATTGTGGATTTGAGATTTTTGCTATTGTTTTGTTTCGGTTTTTTTTTAATTATTTATGATACCTAGATTGAACTCTGGGTGGGGAGTAACTGTGAAGAATTACCCTAAATTAGCAGTTCTCTTATGTTACTGAAATGAGAATCTACAGTTTTATTTTAAAAAATACTTATGGTTGGGGAAAATGAAGTGTGACCATGCTGGTTTTAAGAACATAACTTCTGTTCACTTGAAGGAATCATGGGCACAGTAAAGAGCTCCTGTTACTTGGCTTTTCTGATTTTACTGTTGGACGCTATATTGAAGCCACTGTAACAAATGAAGAAGAATTACTTATAGCACCTGTGGAACCATTTTCTCCAAGAAAGCCTAAAATTATTGCAGATTCTCAGCTAAGGAAGACAACAGTGACTGGCCCTAAAAACAGAAGGTACTGTGAATTAGAGCAAAAGATAACACTTAGGTAATACCGCTCTGTTTGGTATTGCTATATCTGTTCTGTAACGCTAACAAAGAAAATGTGAAACTGGGAGAGTCTGTACATGTTTTCTACTTATATGTGTGTGTTGTAAACAAGATGATTGCAGAGACTGCAGATAGGAGAGGTTGTTTTAGTAAATAACTTCTTGATTTCATTGTAGATTTTTCAAACAGAATCTCTTTCTAATGTATAGTGTGGTAATAAATAAGATAAAACATGGCTCCTAGTTATCTACAAGTAACAATTGTATTGTTAAGAAAAAAGATAGTAAATTGAAAATAGCTTTCTGGGATAATAAGATTCTTAATTCTTTATACAACTTTGTCTATATCTGACTAATGTTTCCCATCTTTCGTTCAGAACTTTTCCTTTTGCAAATAAGTTTCCATTATACTTATGAAATTTGCTTAGTAATAAAAATATACCTAAACTGAAAAAGCAGAAACAGAATGTTTTCAAGTGATTTGTAACCAGAACACTTAGAATCACAGAATAGCTAGAGTTAGAAGGGACCCACAGGGAACATCAAAGTACAACTCTTGGCCCTGCACAGGACCACCCCAAGAATCTCACCTTGTGCCTGAGAGCATTGTCCAAACACTTTTTGAACTTAGGTTGTTGTCCAAACACTTGGCATTCTGGTGCCATTACCACTTCCCTGGGGAGCCTGTTCCAGTGCCCAGCCACCCTCTGGGTGAAGGTCCTATTCCTAATATCCAACCTCAGCCTCCCCTGACACAACTTCAGTCCATTCTCTCAAGTCCTGTCACTGGTCACCACAGAGAAGAGATCAGTGCCTGCCTGTCCCCTTCCCCTCACAGGGAAACCATAGACAGCTATGAGATCTCCCCTCAGTCTCCTCTTCTCCAGACCAAACAGACCAAGTGACCTGCGGCCACTCCTCGTACAGCTTCCCCTCAGGGCCCTTCACCTCTATGCTCGACCCATGAGCCAGTCGCTCACCCACCACATGATGTGTTTATCCAGCTGTTGCTGGACATTTTGTCTGGAAGGATACTGTGAGAGACAGTGTTGAAAGCTTTACTGAAATCCAAAAAGATTACATCAACTGGCTTCCCTTGATCACATAGGTAGGTTACCTTGTCGTAAAAGGAAATTAAGTTAGTCAAGCAGGACTTTCTCCTCATGAGCCTGGGCAGTCTGTGACCATTGACTGTGTTGTCCTGCAGGTGTCCTGCAGAATAATAATCCTCATATCTTTATCAGACACTAAAGCGAGACTGACAGACCTGTAGTTTCTAGGGTCCTCCTTCTTGCCCCTCTTGAAAATCAGGACAACATTGGCCAGCTTCCAGTCAACTGGATCTCTCCAGATTCCCAAGACCATTCAAAAATCATTGAGAATGGTCTTGCAATGATATCAACCATCTCTGAGTACTCATACAAATCTTGTCAGGCTCCATAGACTTACAGGGATCCATCTGCAGGAGCAAATTGTGCACAAGTTTGGGGTCATCTGGAAGTTTATCATTCCCAGCTCAGGGCACTGGCACCCCTTAGACCCTCATTGGTGTTGAAGACAGGCAAAGAAAGTGTTAAACACCTCTGCCTTGTCTGTGTGTCTGTTTGTGAGGTGACCATCCTCATCCTGTAATGGGCCAATGTTGTTTCTGCACTGTCTTTTGCCATTGACATATTTTGAAAAACTTCTTTTGTCTCCCACAGTACTGGAACAGCTTCAACTCTAACTGAGCTTTGGCCACATGATTTTTCTCCCTACAGTGCCAAGCAGCATCTCTGTAGAGGATTGTTTCTCTGTCTTCTCAATACGGCAAACTTCTCGATTGTCTCTTTGAAGGAGTCATTGGGTCTGTCCTCTGTGTGCATGCGTTTTGGGTTTATAGTCTTGGTGATGTGGCATGTTAATTAGCTGTCTTTCACATATATAATTTGAGAAAGCTAAGTGGTATGTCATACATTTTTGTTTTAGAAATAACAGAAAGTGGTGTTCAAACTTTCTCCCACATTATACCATACCAGATGAATTAAGAAGATGTGTGGAGCAGAAGTTAGACATACTGACCTTTCAGCCCCTCCTAGCAGAGGTATGCAAGTGTAGGTTTATATAAGAAAATACTTTTTATGTAAGTGTTTCTGTTGAAACTTGCCTTAACTTAGCAAAAATGTGTAGTCCTCAGTGTAACTGACGATGACCTAACACAGTTGCCAAGTAGACTTAGACTTCATGGGTTTCAGTGTGTTACAGAATACAAGGTTACAAGAGCACAAAAGCCTAGATGTGAAAAACTGAAAAGGGAGCAGAAATATACTGGGGGGATATTACAGAAGCTGAACAAAGATCCTCTATGTTCTTACTTTTTAAGCATCATTGGAAAGGGTTTTTTGAGGTCTGAGAACAGTTGTTTCATAGAAAATGAAAGCAGAATCTCTTAAATTATTGCAATATCAGGATTCTTTTCTGGCTGTTAAAAATTGTTTTCCTAAGCATCCTCAGATTTAATTCACTATTGGCTTGTTCCAATTCTTCCTACAAAGTATAGCAATTTTAGAATACATACAAAATACCCCAACCCACCCCCTCCCCCCACCAAAGTCTTAACAAGAACAGTGATTTTTTCTCCAAAACTTTGCCCTGATGTCATGTAGAACATTGCTGTAAGTCACTTTTTTTTTGGTACATTTTTAAGTACTTACGAACTGGGGCTGGTACCATTTCTAAAAACGTAAAAGGCTATGTTGTCTGCTGTCTAAACAGGTTACACAAAACCTGAGGTCACAGCATTAAGCTAGCAGATTAATGGTCATCTCTCAAAAAGAAGATAAAACTCTGTAGTGTTTGAATTAATTTTATACCGAAGGCCTACCATTACTGATTATGTTCTTTTTTACCACACCTTAATTTTTGTCTGGTACTGGTGACTTAAGTCTGCATCAGAAAGCGCTGTTCATTTGCCTTGTATTTGAGTGAGAAGATACCAAATAGAAAGCAGTCTGTGCTATCATCGTTTAGATAGAACGTTGTCCTGTTGAATACCTCTGCACTGAGATTCATTAAGATCTGAGGAAGAAAATTCAGGTTCTTTCAGCTTGCTATAAGTTGTATAATCATCAGCCAGGGACAAGACTGACATGACTCTCTTCTTTCTTCAGCCATCTCTGTCCGTGTACTTAGATTTTACGCTGTTCAGGATTGCTGAGCATAGAAATCAGTTTGTAGACTGCCCCTGAATTCAGATGATGTAACTACCACTGTAGTAAGGAGAGACTTGGTTAACTCTTTAGCTGACTGGCTATTGTATCTGAGGTCCAAGGACTATACTGATTTTTCTTTGACTACTGGGAGTGTTTAAGTATGTTAAGTATGTTAATGTATCCATCTATTGTATGGATACATGTATGTAGATGTCTTAATTGGCAACCCAGTTGCTGTGCAGTCCATTTCGAAAGCTGTTTTGTATAATGTTAGTAATTGTGGGTTCCCTATCTTGTTGTACAACAATAATGTATACTGTTTTGTTTTTCAGCGTCTTAATCTAGATAATTATAAAGCAAACTTCTCTACTCTTTTGTGGCTTGAAGAGATCCAAGGAGAAATGGATTTAAAATGCTTCAGCATGAGTGGGATTACTTTGAAAAGGAATGGGAACTTTTTAGTGCTGGAAGTGCCAGGAGTAGAAGAGGGCAGACCTCGCCTGGTTCCAGGTAGAAATTAATGTGAGGTAAAGCCAAATGGCACGTTGATCCATATTTTCACTACAACTTCAGTCTGTTGCTTATTCATTTGTTTAAAGAAGTCTTTCACATATTTGAACACAAAGTTATTAATTTAGGCTACTAGACAGGGGAACTGCTGTGCTAGTGGCTCAGCCTTGCAGTGGCTGCTGTCTGAAGCAGCATTGCATGTGTCTGTTCTTACATTTGTTCCAATAGGATTTTTCATGTACAAAAATTAGTGAGGCTTTCAGCAAAAATAAATTGTGCAGTGTAGTAATAGTTTAAAAGACAGTAGGTATAGCAAAAGCTGGGAAAGTAGTTAAATTCAGAATTTCAAATGAAGATTTGTTTTCAGGAGATGTTGTTTGATGTCATCGATACTAGTTGCCTTTTAAAGTGTAGTATGCAATTGCATATGGCATTTAGGAGCAGGTAGGCACAGATACAGCAACTTTGCTGAAGTTAACCTCCTGCAAATTCCTAGTTTAAACATGCAAAAGAGGAAGAAATTATATGCTGCAGCAAAAGTTATACTATTCCTTGTAACAGTATGTTGCCTTTTAACTTTGTTTACAATTAGGTGATAAGGTGATACTGAAAAGTCAGGTCTACTCGGAGCATATAATAGAGTACATTGCCTTTATTACTGAGGTAAGCAAAGTGTATCTCCTCTTGAAAATACAGTGGTCCACAAGTTTCAAAAGGGAAGCTTGCAATTCATGGAGTTACAGACCAGTTTAACCTTTCTTGGTAAACTAGGTTTGTTTTATTTACATTCTGAGCAGTAATTTTGTATTTTTATTGTATTTTTGAAGGGTTTGGCTTCCCTCTTCTTTTGAGATTATAATGCTTACCTGCTGTAAAAGCACTTGTAATGTAATCTAGATATGCAATATGTTGATAGCACATAAATCTAGGTGTTCTTTTTAGAGGTGATGGGTGGTTTCCATGCTTTCAGAGATGCTTCTTTGTGTTTAAAGTACTAAGTCTTCATCAGTGTCTTGACTTTTTTTTTTTTTTCTCTTTGTAACAGATATGTCATGAAGATGTTACTCTTAAAGTTAATGCAGACTTTGAACAAGCTTACAACTTGGAACCCATGGATGTGGAATTTGTTCAATGCAGGTGTTTTTATAAGTTTCAAAAAAGCTGCATTTAATGATTCCTCTAGTAAAGTGACTTTTAAAGTATACATGACTGTCAACTGTTTGTTTTTGTGGATACAGACAGAAGAAGGACATAAGATCTTGCGAATTCTTTCACTTCTTTCCCTTAATACACCTCTGCCACCATATTCATTGTTAAAAGACTGCAACTGTACGAGTGTACAAAGAATTCTTCTCTTAATCCTCTCTAAATTGTCACACCAATGCCAGAAAGTGAAATGAGGGGAATGAGGTGGGGTGTTTTGAGGTATTTTTCTTAGTTTTTTTCCATTTTTAAGAAAAAACTATACCACTATGGTTACAAGACTATGCAAAAAAAAAAAAAAAAAAAAAAATGATTTTAACCCCCCCCCCTTTTTTTTTTTTTTTTTTTTTTTGCATAGTCTTGTAACCATAGTGGTATAGTTTTTTCTTAAAAATGGAAAAAAACTAAGAAAAATACCTCAAAACACCCCACCT